TTATGATATTTGTTAATCTTTGTAATAATAAAGTCAAATCTGGTGTGAAACTATGGAATGAACTGAATGATTTTATTTGAATACAGCATTTGTGCTCAGCTACACTTCAAGACATTCAGAGTATGGCTTGTGTTGGACACCACAGTTGCAGGCTAATAGCATACAACACCAGAGTAGGCCTATCATTTTAGGCCTAATATAATTATTATGTTAATACAACATAGGTATCACCTTTATACAATATATTTTTCATACTATCAGGTTTGAACAATACATGTACAAACTTGATCGTGTTCAAAAATTTATTTTCTTCCGTGACAACAGACCATTTCTGTATTTATTAGGGGTGGGCGATACTAGGAATTCTGTTTTTCATTTTAATTTTTTTAATTTATTTATTAGGACAGTGTGCAATTTAAACATAAACATAAAAACATTTGATGCGTTGCACCAGATTTAGCCTAAGGCTAATTTACATCTGTAATTCTCCAGATAATAAAAACAAAACAACATCTAACAGTAATAAAAATAAGAAAATAAAATAACAGAAAAATAAAAATAACATTAAATAAAACATTTCGCAATTAGTAATAAAAATACATAAACACCCCCACTCTCCAAACATAATTAAAAAGTAATATCATTGAACATCCAAAAAAAATTTGTGATTGCAGTATTAAGTAGATTTGAGATATTCCACATGACCACCCCAGACACCAACCAAAGAACTGCAGGTCTCCACAACCCCACCTGAAAAACGTCTGACACATTGCACCCAATCCAACGATAGGGCAATCCGACATCTGCATTTCCACCAGACAACAAACATCACTGATAAGCAATAAAAACATCCAAAATAAATTAATAAAAAAATACATACCTATATTTAAGAAATGTAATCATGCCCACCTCCACCCCACCCTTCAACTCCCCCAAACCAGAAGCAAACTCTAAAATCGATTACCCAGTGCAATTCAGTGATTGCAAAATTGTGTAGATTTAAGATATGTTTTAAGATTAGTTTTAAAACTAATAAAAGAACTACAGGTTTTTACATGATCGGGAGCAGCATTCCACTGGCTTTAACCGTATCACAATACCAAGTAAATAGAGGGCTAGTATCTCTGATTCTGATACAATCCTCGTCATGCTAATTACATAATTATGGGATTTTGCCTTTAGCTAGTCGATCATGATAAAACACGACAAAAAATTTAGACAAGTTAAAATGTTTTGTATTAACTAATAAATGACAAACTAAATAAAACAATGTAACATTCTGAAGAAAATAAAATTAGCCCCCTATTATCTTCTACAGTATACTACACACAGGTGTTTAAGAAAAAGGTCACCAGTGGAAAATGACAAAAAAGAAGCAACAATGTAACAAAAATATAATTATGTGAATAGTAACAAAAAACACTTTCCATTGCATGTGGGTATGTAGAGGACKAACAACTAACTGCAAACAATTTGAAGACTCTGCATTACGGACTTTTTTCACTTTATTTGTGAAACATAAAGTCAGTAGTGCAAATAAAATGTAAACAAAAGAATCAAAACCATCATGCTATCGATCCGAGACTGATACTTTTATCTTTGTATCAACTGTATCAATACCGAGATCGATACGCCCACCCCTACGGTTTATCGTTTGCCTTCAAAAGGCAAAGGAAGAAAATAATGTTTTTGACTTCATGTGTGTCTTTTAGCAAACTATGTCAA